TAGACAATGCCTTTCAAACCATAGAATGTGAATCACAAGCATAAACTTCATTCAAATTGCATTCGATTACTATATAAAACGCATAATGGTTACCATTTGGTAAATTTTATTGAAAGCTTAAAAAAATAATACATTAAAAAAACTTAATGACAGTTTTTTAAAAAATCTTTTACAAAACTATTTTGTTGAGTGCTTTTATATAACAAAATACAATTGTGAGCTAGCCTCTGTGATAGACTAGCATATGACCAAAGAGCTAACAAGTATGTGAGTCCAAGTCTGCCAACCACAAACTTCATTTTGTAAGCCCCTTTTTTTTATATGTTATAAATAGAACATAAAATAGGAAAAATACAATATGCATTTACCAAATTTGATGTTTGAATTCAACTTGTAAAAAAATAGCGATGTATCTTCATCTTCCTTTATTCTTTTCCTAATTGTAAAAATTTAAAATGTTTACAAAAGAAATTATATACATTTATCCTCAATTACTTAGCAATTTATAGGGCATTATCTGTCACAGCCTGATAGTTAACATTGTCTAAATTGAAATAATAGAACTTACGGTGAAATTTGGATTAAACTACAAAAGCTAATCCATTAAAACAGATTTTTCAGTACAAATTTCAGCTAATACAACAACTATAGATTTTTCAGCACAAATTTCAGCACCCTCATAAACCCAATTTGGATCAAACTGCAACAGCTAATCCATTCAAACTGTTAATGTACACCTCCTACACCACTAAAACCTACCACTACCACTACACACCTCCACTACTCTTCACCCACTCCACCTACCACCTCCACTTTACCTACTACCACCACCCACTCTACACCTACTACTCCCAAAACCTCTCTATATATAGGACTTGTAATATACAGATACAAATATCAATATACACAACAATCAATATATACATATCAGTCAATAATAATACATTATATACATATCAGTCAATAATAATACATTATATACATATCAGTCAATAATAATACATTATATACATATCAGTCAATAATAATACATTATATACATATCAGTCAATAATAATACATTATATACATATCAGTCAATAATAATACATTATATACATATCAGTCAATAATAATACATCGGTTCATAACACAAACAGATTTTTCAACACAGAATTTCAGTACCCTCATAAACCCTACAGTGTCCACCACTACAGCTAATCCAATGTAAAATACGGGAAAATCAAAATCTAAATCAAAATCCATATCCTCCTAAATAGATCAAATCAAAATCAAAGTCACAAAAATCTCAACAAATCATCGCATTTATATATATATATATATAGAGATTTATATATATATAGAGAGAGAGAGATGACCTGTCGAGAAGACAGATCTGTCCAGAAAAGACACGGAGTCGAGAGAAGCGAGTCTGACGGGAAGACTGAGGACTGAGGGAGGCTCGATCGCCTTCGTCGTGAGTAGCGACAAAAAACAATTCGCCGATCGTCGTGAATGAGGATTGAGAGAGGCTCCGTCGGTGAGAGATTCCCTCGTCATCGGGGTTAGAGAGTTGCGCTCGTTGGAGAGCTCATTGAGAAAGAGAGAGGAGAAGGAATGAGTGAATAGAGAGAGAGAGAGAGAGAGTTTGAAAATGAAAATGAATTTCAAACTTGAAATCAATTTTCAAGAGAGAGAAAAGCGCGAGTTGCAACAATCTGTCCACGCTGGCCGTCATGTTATTAGTGGTCTGTTTAGTGGTGTTGAATTAGAAGGGCGAAGCATTTTTGTTAATTTTTTATTACTATTTTATATCACAATTTACGTGAATGCAAATAATATTTAAGTTTAAAAGTTATATCTACTTTATAGACTCAAAGATGCGTTAAAAAAATGATTAGTTAATAATTATATATTTTATAATTATTAATCAATCATGTTACTGAATCTAGAAAGTAAGTATGAAAAATAGACTTGTATATCATTTTTCTTAATATATATAGCATCCGTATGTAGAGCTGCTTTTACAAATGCGCCAAAGTAGAGCTTCTTTGTAAAGATAATAATGGGATTCTCTTTTTTAAAATTATTGGTCTTTACTTAGCTATTAAATTATAAATTTATTTTGTCTTTCAAGATTTTCATATAATTTTATGATAAAAAGTATGTCTTATAAAAGTTTCTTTTGATTTAAAAAAAAAAAGTTTATACTTTTTTAAAAAGAAACTTTTTCATTTTAAAAAAGACTTTTTTAAAAGAAAAGCCTTTTGAATCAAACAAAACTTTTATAATTTATTTATTAAATCACATGAAACTTGTTGGCTAAATATGTTTTTTTAAGGTCAAAACTTTTATAATTTATTTATTAAATCACATGAAACTTGTTGGCTAAATATGTTTTTTTAAGGTGGTTTTTGCAACCACAATTTTTAATTTCGTGATTGCTAATAAAGTTTCATAATTTACAGGCTAACATTACATACAAAAGTAAACATAATATTCGTGCTCCCTTCATATAAATTTTTTTTTTTACATATTTAATAAGTAATTAATAACTAAAAGCACTTGAACTTTTTGCATATGCAAATCCATATCCATATCCCCATTTTAATGTCAAGTTTGGTAATCTAAAAATAATCTATCATTTTATCTTTTTATCATCACATCACCTTTTTACTTTTTTGTATATCTTTTTGTAAAAAAATAAAAAATATATTTATTTAGGTCATCCCAAACAACTCTTAAATATCTTAACCATTCAATGAATTTCTATTTCTTTGAATGTCTAAGGGTACCAATGACTAGAGACGGATTAAGAATTTTCACGTAGGGGTGAAAATATATATATTAACAAAAATTTTAAATAAAAAGTATGAATTGTAATATCAATTTTTTATCGATATATAAAAAATAAAAGGGTAAATTATACTGACACTCCTTGATATTTCTGTTTAATATAGATTCTGTCCTCACAATTGAAAAATTACACTTATTCATCTGTCAGATTAACATGACATATTTGCCCTTAACCTTTATATATATAAAATAGTAAAATAATACAAGTATTTTGTTCATGCTATTTCAAAAGAAATAACAATCATTTTTTTTGGTTTAACTCACACAAACAATCGTGTTTTTTTATTTTTTATTTTGCGTGTTTCTTTATTTTTACTAATTTTTTTAATATTTTAAACATTTTTAAAAAAAAAATTTAGATACACCTAATCTAGATATACCTAAGAAGTATAATATTTTATATATTTTTTAAATTCACCAAATAAATAAAAAATACAAAAATTCAATACATTCTTTTATTTTGTTGTATTCAATGATTTTTTTAAAGTTTTTTTGTATAAAGTTTATATTTTTAAATATATTTAGATTAAATTGATCTAATCTAGATAAAATGGTGGAAATAAAAATGAAAAATTATATTCATATATAAAAATTTATACGAAAAATATCATAAAAATATTGTGATAATGATATTGTTGTAAATATAAATTATGATTATGAGTATTTTGTTTTAAAGTGACAATTGACCATTTGAAAATTCTATATAAAACTTATGTTTGTATATCATTAAACAATAAGAATATATTCCAGTAGAATTTAATAATGGAAAGTGGTAGAATGTAATCATGATGATAGGAAGAAAAAAAATAGTAGGAAAAAGGGCAAGATGGTCATTTAGAAAATTTTAAAGTATCACATCCGCAATTCAGAGAGTAATTTGTAATGAGATTATAAACCTTATAATTTTTCAAAGGTAAGAGGAGGATCTATATTAAACAGAAATTTCAGCAAGCGTCAGTGTAACCAAAGCAAAAATAAGATAGGGCAAATTACACTAACGATTTCTATAGTTTGAGATTTGTGTTATTTTGATCCCTGACTTTTCAATTGTGACACATTTAATCATGAATTTTGAATCTTGTTCCAAATAAGAATAATTGAAGATATCATTGCTCAATTTTAAGGGCAAAATTGTCAATTTGATAAAATATATACTAATTTGACAAGAATAAATGTCAAAAAATATTTTTCAATTTTTAAAAATTATTTCTATCCACCCAAGATAAAATTATATAAAATTGATAAATCTTTTACACTTTTATTTATTTACCAATTAATTTTTATTATGTGTTTGGATGATGATCATGTAATGAGCGGTTGCTTTTATTTTCATTAAATTAGTTTTTATTTTTCCAAAAGTCAAATATGATGACAACTTTAATATCATTATTAAATCAATCCATTAAATCAACACAATCCAAAACCAAAAATATTTCATATATTAAATATATCGATTACACATTAAAAACCTATCAACCACTTATTATATGATTATCATCCAATTACTTAATAAAAATTAATTTCGTAAAACAAATGACTAAATAAATGCGTATAAGATTTATCAATTTTACATAATTTTATCTTTTATGGGTAGAAATAATTTTAAAAAATTCAAAAATATTTTTTTAACATTTATTTATGTCAAATTAATTTATATTTTATCAAATTGATGACTTTACCCTTGAAATTGAGCAATGATGTCTTTAATTGTCCTTAATTGGAACAAGATTCAAAATTTAAAGTCAAATATGCCACAATTGAAAAGTTAAGGATTAAAGTGATACAAGTTTTAAATTATAAAGACTATTAATATAATTCGTCCAATATGATAAAAACATATATAAATAATTTTTTTTTTTATCCATATTGAAAAAGATAGCAACATAAAACTTTCTATTTACTAAAGTGAGATATTTTGAATCGTACTTAACGCTCTTACATGTTATTAAAAGAATGTATGATAAATTCAACTTTAAAATCTTGCACAATGTTTCCATCAATAAACATGATCAAATAACTAATTAATATCTTGTTTTATTATCCGGAAATAAGATTTGTTATCAATAGTAGTTATAAAAAAAATATTAATTTTATTATATTTTATCTATTGTTTATACATTGATCCAATATTTTATAGATATGGAGGATCAAACACTTCAATTTAAAAAAAAAAATCAAGAGAGGATAACCATTTAAAATTTAAAAAAAAAAAATACTTAAAAGGGAAAAACTTCTACCATTTAGAGATAATTATAATTAACACTAGTATAATAGCAAAGGTTTTTGATATCATAGAGGGGGCCATCGCCCCTGCTTGCCCTCCTAGAGGTCCATCATTGATCGTAACGGGGGCGATCGACCCTTCTTGTCCCCCTATAGCAATTAGCTGGTCAACATTCATGGGGACTGTATATTGTTGAGAACTATGAAAAATCGTGTCAACGAAAATACGAGTAGCTGCTTCAGTAGGATGATACAGATCCCAGAAGATATGATCACTTCTGTTGGAGCAGTAGCTTGAAATCGGTAGGCATGGAACTTGGGCTCTTAGGTTTCCCAACCCACAACATGCTGATTTAACCTCATTAAATCCTGAAATAGAAACAAAGATTATGTGGTTTAACCTAAGACGCGTGACGAGATGAAAATCTAAAAGAATCTCATACTAATGAAAATGTATTGGAACAGGAGCACGTGAATTGTGGAAATAGAGGATCCCGTGTCGAAAAAAAAAAAAACTGACATAATCTAAACCCATGGATTCTACTATGATATTTGTTTGCAATAAAATAGACGATAATTATGATTTTGAAAAGGATGGACACGGTTGGTTAAAGATTGAAACAAGAATTGAAGTACCGAAGGTGGAGGGTGTCTGAATGAGGCGAACGAAGACACCATAGATGTCCAGAAAGGAGTAGTCTATGTCCTTGAGCTCTGATTTGAGTCCCTGCAACATTGATTTGAGGCCTTCATTGTACTTGACAGTCCAGTAGTTTGCTTCCTCATTGCATTCTTCAGTTTTGTTCTGATTCCTCTGTGAGGGACAACAACCCACTGCTCCAATCCCAGCAATCACATATTTACGTGCACCAAAATTATGCATGCTCTGCAAAATGTTAATTTAATCAACAAAAGAAGACACAGTGAACCACAAATTCAATGAATTTTGAGAGTTTATAAAACTAAGTCCTACAGACTCAGGAAAATTACCTAGGAAAATACTCTGAAAAAAGCATCTAAAGATCACAATAATTTTAGGTGTGACCTCCATTCCACCAACTTTAAATCTACACCATTCATATTATTTTCGAATAATTTTCATGATCTCTAACATTTTTCATAACCGCATTAAAGATATTTTAGATATTTTTCTCAACAAACATGGGCATTTTGGACATCTCCATTGCTAATTATGCCATTAGTTCCGGCCTCAAGTTTTAGGATTAAATAAATACACATTTTTAGAGATCAAAAAATTGGAACAACTAAAAAGTTAGAACTGATCCCATATTTTGGGACCAAAAGTGTATTTTAACTCTTTTAATTAACAATTCACTTCGCTGATAATAAAAAAATAAATAAAAATAATAATAAAAACATATATCAAACTTTTGAATGATTGATTTACCTTCAACACTTGTTTGAGAGTGAGAACCATTAAATCAACATACTGCTGTGGAGTGCTTTTTGTAGGGAGGTCCGACCCGGAACTGAAGTAGCCCAGCAACTCATTGCTTCCGACGACAAGGGTGAAGAGTGATTTTGATAGATGTAGTTGGGCCCCAGATGATCCAAGTTGGTGTACTAGATCTTCATACACAATAGTTGAGTAGTACTCAACTTGTTTGGATAATGGAATCGATCGTTCCTGAAAATAAAATAATAAATAAATTCAAAACACCACAGTATGTGAGTAAAAAAGCCCAACCCAATAACCTTGAGCAGGCCTTGTCGGTTGGGCTTAGAAGAAACTGGGACCACTTGATTGATACATAAAGTTTTTGTTCCCTTCATGAGATAGTTAGTTGGACTATTTCTGGTGGCTATTTAATATTTTTGTTCCCTAGAAAATTTGTTTTTTTTTCATATTTTTAATTAATCAGAATTTGCTTAAAATACAAATTACCTCTGTAATTTTTCCCTGTTAGAATTTTTTATTTAACAGAATTAATTGAAAAATAATAAAATTATCTGAATTATTAATTGAAATAAAATTTTAATATTATTAAAACTATTAATTAACTTGATGATTTATCAATAAAATGACCTATTTGTTATGAAATTAAAAATCTTAGAGAGCATAATGTAATTTCCAAAACTAGAGGAGATAATTTGTAATTTAAGTAAACTTTAGGGAGTGTTTGTAATTTACCCTTAATCAAATTTAAAAAAATTCTTAATAAGACAAAAACTAGGCAAATTTGCCTCAAAAGTTCGCTTATTTTCATTTTATTACAAAAAAAAATTCAAATTTAATATATATTTTTTATTTCTAGGTTCCTCACGACTAGAATGTTCTACAAATAAAAAAAGTTTCAATCAATTTTGTTTTTTATTTAAAAAGTCCTAATAAGAAAAAAATACGCTGATTTCTCGTCTCTTTTTAATTTATTTTTCTTTTATCATAGATTATAGAATACATATTATTTTTCTTTTAATCCAGTATCTTCTTTTCTTTTCTTTTCTTTTCTTTTTTTTTTTGATTGAATAAGTCTACACATAAAGTATTAAATAATAAAATAAAGTACTTACAAAATCAGTGCTATTAAAGATTCCAGAACCTCCGGAGGCAAAGCTAACGCCGGTGATTGGAAAGGCAGTATTACTAGGCTTGTTAGATACAAGTGAGAGATACGGGGGAGGAGTCACTATACCCACTTTCTCAGCTGCCAAACAGTCCCAAAACACAACCAAAATATCAAAGGTGGCACACATTTAACAATATTCAAGTTTTAATTTAGTCATGCCCAAAATTTTTATTTTTTTTTCTCTGGGTACATGTCAAGATCCTGATAAATGTCCCCCAAATTGTTAAATTTAACTTTCAACTTGAACAATAAAATCAAATTAAATCTAAACTTAAAGGGTAAGAATTCATATTGCTCAATTTGAAACAATAGAGATTAAAATAAAACTGCAGTCAAATTATATAAGCTAATAGTATAATTACTCTTTTTCCCAATCAAATTGACAAGAAATTATATATTTGCCAAGTAGTAATAGCCTTTAAAAAAAAAAAAAAAAAAAATTGGCTATTAAATTTTATTTATTTTTAATTAAGTTCTTAAACTATTTAACAAAAAAATTGTTGTTCAAAAAATTTATTTTTTTTAATGATAAAATTGAGTGGATTATTAATATTTTCTCTATGATTAGTTTATATAATTAAAAAAAAACAAATTTTATTTTTATTATTATTTTTGACTTAATTACTTACAAAATCACTTTAAAAGCCGAAGCAAGAGGTAGCGTAATGACCAAAAAAAAAAAAAGCAGCATGATGAAAAGAAGAAAAGCAATTTGGATTTGTAAATTGGGTTTTGTTTTTGTAAAGTAATAAACGATGAAAGTGATGTTGTAGAGAGGGTGCACCTAGAAGGTCTGCAAAGTTGTGGCCGTTACTGAACCTTCCGGTGGGTATTTTTCCGGGAAAGTCGATGCCGTTATGAGGAAAATCAGCTTTGTTGAGGGAGAGTTTGAGGTGGTTATTGTTTCCGACATCTACTAAGGAGTCTCCGAACACGTACATGCCCGGTACTTTCTGAGCTTCCGAGAAATTGAATCCCAATATTAATAAGAGAAAGAAGAGGAACAAGAAAGTCATTGTTGAAACTTTGAGTCCCATTTGAGGAAGTACTCTCTCTCTCTCTCTCTACAAGTTTGGAATATGAGTCAGTGGATGGGTTTTTAAAGGGGCGAGAAAGAAAGAGAATATGGAGGAGGAGGAGGAGGAGGGTGTGTGCCCACAACCAGAGTGTGTGGTTTTGTGGTCTCAAACCCAGGTGATTGTGATGTCGGTTAATCTTTTCAATACTACTTTGATCATCAATATATCTACCTACATTTACGTCTTATCTCATCTATATATTAAGATAAGACATTTATATCTATATAATAAGATAAGACTGTTTTTTTAATTAGAGACATATTTAGTTTGTGTTTCAAATATTTTAAATAAATATATTTTTTTATTTTTTTATTAAAAAAGTAGAGAAAAAAATATATGTTTAGAATAATTTTTTAATTTTTTTCGAAAAGATATGAAATAAAATATTATAGTAAAATTGAAATGACTATTCTATTCTTGTTGATTTTTTGACTTTTGACTTTTTGACTGTTAAATGCAAAAGACAAAATAATAATTTTGTCTTATAGTTTTTCACACAAGTTTTCAAAATAATAATTTAAAATTTATAGACTTCTCTCACAAGTTTTTTTTCAAATATCTCATAATAATTATTTTACTTTTTATTTTTTTTAAAGTTTATGTCAGACCAATCCTAATTAGCATGGCTGAGATTGTTTTTGCAAATGATAGAACGACTGAGATTCATTGCCAAGAGTTTGATTTCCCGCCAACTGCTCTCTTCCACGTCTGTTATGTTACATTTGCCCCTAAATATGAGGAGTAAGTTACAATGATATATCCAAATGCAGATAAATGAGGGATTGACATATCAGTAACTTTTATTGTGGGAAGATCGTGGTGGAGATGTCTTCCTTTGATTGGGGAGAAGAATGAGAGTAGGAGATATTTTTTTTTTTTTTGAATATCTCACATCATTTTTTAAGGATAATAATTAGTATATTAATTGATATGTATAATAACTTTATTCATATCTTTTAGTAAATATTTTTTTAATATGTCACATCATTTCTTATTAATTAGTATACTAAATGATATGTATCACAACTTTATTTGTATTCTTTAGCAAATATCTTTTCAATATGTCACATAATTTCTTAATGCATTAATTAGTATACTAATTGATATGTATAACAGCTTTATTCACATCTTTTAGCATGCTATACTTTTTCTATGGAATTAGCTCCTTTTCAATCCGTTATCTGACTTGTTATTCAAAAGACAACTTAAGAGATGGATGAATTAAGTTTCTACAAATAAAAGTAAATATTAACCCAATAAAAATTACAACTAGTATAGCAAATGATTAACAGATAAAATGAGTAAATAGAAGATGAATAACAGTTAATTTGATTAAGCACTATGATGAAATTAATCAGAGAAGTAGCTAACAAAAATGATTAATCTCAAGGATGAACTAAAAGTGAAGTATAGCTAACTGTTAAAGTAGTGAAAGATTTTGGCTTAACAAATTATGATTTAGAATTAGCAAAGGATATAACTAAATTAGTAAGTAAAGAGATAGATGATTTAGCACAAAGTAGCAAATGTTATGACATGTATAGCAATAACAAAAATCAACACAACGAGTGTACCAGATTGCTATATCAGTAAGGAAATTAAAAAGATTATGGAAGAGAAGGTAAACAGATTTATAATAGTTCAACTTCAACCATGCCTACATCTAGATTTTTCACTATCTTCTAACTTTATAGGGATGTTAGCAACCTCATCACAAATGGAGTAATTTTTCACAAATTTTACAAAGACTATACCAAGTCTTCAAACCTTAGATAATTCACAATCACTCTCAAGGAATTAAGAAACCTGAATGTACTACACTCTTACAAGATTGAAATGACTTGATGTTGCTTTCTGAGAAAGCTTGAAATAAAACTCACTCACAGAATGATACAATATCAAAAGCTTAGAGTGTTTATTTATAAACCTCACACAAGTAAGATAAGCTTAAAGCTAAAGCTTTGTGTATAATTTCTGAAAGAAAGATGAAAAACCAGATAAGGAACTCTTTAGAAAATCAGAGAGATGAGATTGATGAAAGATGAAGAAATGTATACAGCACATTGTATCTATTGCTCTGTACTGGTTGTCTCTGCTGCTTGTTCAGAGCTCTGTATATAACAGAGTTGAGTGCTCTATTATGCTTTGACAGAGCTCATCCTCTTCTTCCTGTTGAGTGATGGGTTGGTGATGGCTGAGGATAATATATAAATCATTGTACAGATATTCCCTGACGTTTTGCCCATTGAATGATAGGTGTACTGATGCAAAATAATTCTCTTCTCTTCTCAGCATCTGTTATTGATATATGAATTCTTTATATAGTAGACGTCTGTTCGGATGTCCAAAGTAAAGTTCTGTGTTTGTGGGTCGTCCGCTTGGATGTCCTATGAAGTCTCGATTGTCATTCGCGATCGTTGAGCATATTGTTGGTCTAACGTCCGAAGCGAAATAGAACTGGTCTGGAACGAAACTAGGCCGAAATGCCTTGGTCGATTGTCCTCCCAGATGTCCGCACGATCGTCCTTGCCTGCTCAGAGCTATAGAAGAATTTTGCAAAAAAATAGTCTGACCGGTCAACCGCCTTTTGTTATTTCGGCCTTTTGTGTTCTACTGCTGTAGTACACTAGTTTGGTACCTGTTTAAGCCTTATTTTGAACTCAAGAATGGCATGATTGTTATATAAACATGGATGAAAATATTATGGAATATTTTATAAGAATTCAATCTATTTTGCTCTTCCAAATAAATCAAAACAGAGTTAAAACAAAATAAAAAACAATTATTAAAATACAATATGTCTAACAATCTTTCTCTTTTTGATGATGGCACAACATGATATTTTGATTTTTTTGTGAGGAAGAGAAACTCCCCCTCAAGTCAATTTCACTATGGATTACCAGATTTGTCATGTTCATAGAAAAAAGAATGTAAATTTAGTGAGATGTTAAATTTATTATATAATTAGGGAGCGTCATTTGCGTTAACAATGTTTTTTGGCATCAGTCATTTGCTAATATATATATCATATATTTTGAGAGGGAAAGGTTAATATGTGAACTCTTTTTGGTATGTATATAATATAAAATATACTTTATGTGCACTCTTTTTATATGCCCGTCTTTTATAATTTTGTCATAAAAAATATAACTTTTTCCATCATAAAAAATATAATTTTTTGATTCTTACAGAAAATATATTTTTATCACAAAAAGTATGACTACAATTATACATTACTTTTAAGTGTATATCCTAATTTCATCATTTATAACTTTTATCAGGGGAGTAATAACTTTTGTAAATGAATAAAAAAATCGTAACTTTTGCATTAGCGGGGCATTTCCCATTTTGAGAATCTCAATTCATGTTTTGCACTCTTGTGGATTTTACTTTACACTTCCCAGTTAATTTTAGCGCAAAACTCTAATTTTTACCAGGAAAAACGGTGCAATAACAAATGAAGATTAATGTTTTGACCAGTGTCATGTAGATGTAGTCCATCTATAAATTAAATCTAGGCTATTCATTAATTTTTTAGGTAAATTTTATAAATTTTTTCATAGTCAACTAACTTTATTTATTTTATTTTTTGTGTTATCAACAGAAAACTAAGTTTACAAATTGGTTTTTAGAAAAAAAATTATCAATACTACCACACTATTACCTTTACTATTAGCACATAAAGTTTAGTGTCACGATCAAATATAAGAAAAATAACTATTGTTTAGTTGAGTTTTCATAAAAAAGAATTTGAAATATTTTCAAAATTTAATTTGGTGGAAAAAAAAAAAAAAAAAAACTGACTGCTTTCATTTGGTTTTCTTTTTTGAGCAAAAATATTTTTTAAAATTTAGAAATATCCTTTTTTTTGCATTTATTTTCATCAAACTAGTTTGTAATTTTTCAAAAACAAAATTAGAAAACAAATTCTAAAAATTCAATAAAATATATAATTTTTTGTTGAAAAAGTATAATTTATTCATGTCTATGGATTTTGGTAAAACTTATAGTGTGCACTCCTCAGGGGTATGTACTGTATCACAAATTGGCATAATTTTATAATAATATTTCATAATGTCAATCACAAAATGCGTAACCTTGTCAAAAATTAGCATAACGAAAACGTTGTAACCAAGTCGCAAGCTTTTGTAATATTAATTATAAAATTTTGGACATTTTATTAAGTCGAGTTAAAGATTTATCCCATCTAGGAGGTTAAAATAGTGATCAATCGGGCTCGATTAGGGATGTAACTCGAGTAGGTTTGGTCGGGGTTGGAAAATTGTCAAAGTCCAGTCCAGTCCAAGTTGTGCTAAGACCTGTCCAAACCCGCCTAAGCTCGAATTATAACTTGAGGTTGTCTGTCCAAACCTAATCTGAGTTAAACCCAAATTGCACGAATTGTCTAAATTGTAAATGAATTTTAGTTTTTTATTTTTTTACATTTGGCAACTAAATTGTTAAAATTAGACTTTATTTATATACTTTTTTAGGAAAATCATAAATAATATCAAAACAAATAATTTATATAATGTAAATGCCGTAGTCTTTACAATTTATGATTGAGAATAAAAAAGGTAAGATTTTGTGTTACTTGTATATATAATATATATTCAATATGATTTAAAAATCTAAATTACTTTAATATCATGTAATGACTAATAATGTATATATATATTTAATAATTTCATATATGTATATATGAAAAACTAGATTTTGGGTTGTTCAAGTTGTTTGATGTATTTACCCAAATCCGTCCAAATTCAATTTGGGCTTTTGAATTTTTGCCCAAGTTTGTACCAAATTTAAAAATATCTTGTCCAAGTCTTAAAAAAATTTAGGGGACTTACGTGTAGGTCCTAATAAGTGGGCTTATTGTCCAATAGGTCCTATAATAATTAATGACATTTTTCATTAAACATTATTAAAAAACGTCACTAATTGTTAATTTTCAACGACAATATGAAAATTTTGTCAGAAAAAATGTAACTAATTATAAGTTTTAGCGATTGTTTAAAAAAATCATCACAAAAAAGTGTCACTAATTCACAACTTTTAGGGACAATTTAAAAAATTCATCAC